ATTGAATTCGTAATCGAACTATTGATTCAGGTGCCGATGGTGCTAGTTGGAAATAAGTGTGATTTAGCACAACGTGTGGTGGAGTCACGTGCAGTTGCCGAGGCATCACGTGCATATGGAATTCCCTTTGTTGAGACATCCGCGAAGACGCGAATGGGCGTTGACGATGCATTTTATACGTTGGTTCGTGAGATACGTAAACATAAACAAAAACAGAGTGTTAAGCCGAGAAAGAAACGCAAATGTACGATCCTATAAAGTTGTCGTTATGCTACATCATGGCTGTCAGTCATCATTATCGCTATCGTTAGTCAGTTAAGATTCATAACTACCAGTATCAGTCAATCAATCAATCAAATATCATGAAACGTTTCCATCAAATGACGATGATTCGATTTGATTTGAGTTGAGTTGATAATCGAGAACACACACAACTGATTACCATCACCAGTGTTTGTTTTATCAATTCAATTGTATTTGGTTCGCTCTTTCGTCAAGCCTTTTCGATGCCTGTACGTTGTTTATTCTCATGTTTTTATTTTTTGTTTTGTTTGTTTTTTTGTTCATTGTGCGTTTATTTGAGAATGAGAATGAACCGCATTCCATCTTTGATAGCAGTTGAATCCAGCCGTCTTCCCTTCTTATCTTGTTGATATCTGTAGTTGTTTCATCTTTTCTTGCTAATTAAAGTCAAGAAAAGCTACTCGTAAGCGTTGAGCATTGCTGGCACTATGTTTCACTTGAAGAATACAGCTGCGAGAGTTGGATAGTTATGCGATGTGATATGTTGTCATAATGCATGCTGGTGGATAGATGAGGACTGTTCGGATAGTGGGCATCGTCTCGTTGTTCTTGTGATTAGAAAGGATCGTGTGTGAAAAGAAGTGAGCGTTGAAAAATTCAAAACAAAGTGTATTGAGTCTCAGTTCAATTCANTGTTGTTATCAAAAGATTGCTGATTGAATTTGGATGCGATTCGGTTAATTAATTGTTTGTGTTGATGCATCTCAGTCATCATGATTATTGTAGCGTGATTATATGTGTGTGTGTGTTTGAGTGTGAATGATTCGCGTTTTATGCGGACTACATTGCGGTAGGTATCAAATTTGACTGATTGCACCTCTTACAAGCTTTAGATCTATGTGTATTTGTGTCATTTATTAGTCATCATCCTTTCCTGTATCATTTCTCATTTTTGAATCTTCGTTGCATTGTTCATTATCCTCATTAAGTATTCCATTTCATCACTACTCGAAAATATTCTTCTTTGTTACATCCTTTCAACGAAGAACATTCATTCGTCTTTCAGCTAAAAGTCATTCACAGTAAGAAAAACATCAAAATTTTTCCATCGAACTGCCGCTTTCGGTCAAACAATTAATCTTCAAAATTAAACTAAACGAAACGAGAGCAGAAAGAAATGCTGAAACAATTCATAACATATCGGGATTTGTTTTTAAGAATGAGAATAATTTGTACGGATGTGATCGACTCAAGAAAAAAAATGAAGTAAAGATGGATGATAGTGGATAATTTTTTTGGTTTGTTGGAAGAAGGAGAAAAGCTGTAATCTGTCATTGAAATTCAAAGGAATATCTTCAAGAACTGAATTTAGGTTTACATTCTCGTAGTGTCGATTTTGATGAGATCTTTCTGTGTTGTCATACTGATTTCCTAATTCTTACATCTAGGATTGATTAGGCTGATCATAGTCCTCGATCAGTTCCTTCAGTTTCATCGTCTCGAAAATGATCCATGCTTATTCGCCAACGCACGCATGTTGACCTAGAAACGTTTGTTTTCCATCTGAGACTGAATTCAGAAAGGTATTCTCTATCGACCATATAAACAGATTTCAGCAAGTTAACAGCAGGCCAATTGTTCACACTTCATCATTTTTCGTCAAAATTCACTTGTGTATAGGATAGTAGGATATTGGAAAGGGCTTAGTATCCAGATGGCAAAGAGTATGTGAATAGCATGTAATCATAAAATCGTCACTTTCATTCGATAATAAGGTCTACTTCCCCCATTCCAAGCATTTGTTGAACTGATTCGAAAATTCAAGTGGGTATCTGAAAATTCAAAACAGAAAAAAAAACCGAGAAATGATACGTTACGATTTAGAAAAAAAAAGCAAGATTCGTAAGGAATTTCATATTGAGTTGCACTGCGTTGTTCAGTTGAGTGCAGTGATTTCACAAATTTGGACGTGAATTGAAGTGAAAGGAAAGGAAAGTGATTGTATTCAGAGAGTTAATCGGTTTCACGTAGACTTACGTGGTTGAGCAACTGTGGAACATCTTAACACTGCATTATTGCTCGATAATCTTTGTCATGTTGGCGCTTAGCACATAACTTTTATTGTGTACTGAAAATGAGATTGAATGAGGGCAGTATTGTAACTGAGTATTCAATAATACGATATGATATTATTCCTTCCCCATATCACTTTCGCATTTTGCGGTATCTTTTTTTGATATTATTATTATTATTATTATTATTATTATCATTGTTTTAAACTTGCTTTTTTTGAAAAATGACTTTCTTGTTGTTACTGTTGTTAACTTTATGTGATTTGGTTTCATTCTCTTAAATGATGAAATCAAATGAAAGTGCAAATTTTATCCATATCTTTGAAAATCGCGAAAAAACGTTACGCTTCTCCACTTGTTATCATTATTTCCAAATAGAAAAGCTCTTTTTTTTTCGTTGTTTTGCTTTCTTCTTAATATTCGGCGATGATCGGATTCCAGTCGGTATTTGAAAATAGAAAAATGACGGTGTTCCGTCATACTTTGTTGGAGTAGATTCATTAATTTGTTCGTTCGTTTCGTATGTTTCGTTGAGAGTTTCAACGTTGGCTGCTACTTTTTTTTGAAGAATGAACGTTCATCGATTTGAACACAATTCGAAGAATTTTATTGCGCTTGAATGTGATCATTCGTAATGTTATTATTATTATTCACACTTTCAAGGCGTAATAATGAATGCTACTCACTATCACAAGTTTATCCCTATTGTAAAAAAGAAATATTTGTTAAATTGATAAGTCATCATCGTTACTTCGTGGCTAAACAAATCACATTTATGGATAAGAGAAATTGATGAGCCTGTAATGACTGGGTTGTTTAGATTCTTGGCGAAAATCTGAGAAAATTTCATTGTTGGAGA